AACTCATTACGTGTTACCAGGGTCACGTGACTTCCGCTGTCGTAACAGTATTAAATAAGTCAATATCGACAAAATTTAAGAGAACAGCACAGAAATTACGCTTTTAAACACGTTTATTCATCGGAAAAATGGTATTTAATTTCAACGTTAACTCTAAATCAAAATATTTTGAGCCCGACCGAGTACGACGTGCCGGAATTACATCAAATATCATGGTACTTACATACGACGACGAGGAACACACATTTTTATTAACAGAATAAGGAAATCAATTTTTTTGTTTCAATATGCATCTGAAATTCGGCCCTAATACGATCACTTTTTTCACAGTTATTTTAAACAGACTAAGAAAATGCCCTATATCTTAATTATAAAAATGTTTCAAAGTGAACCAGATTTAGGGATGACCGTCCTATGGGTACACCCAATCTTCTGTTAAAAATTTCACGTAAAAAGGTTTATTCTTTTTCGAGATACGCGCGCGGCCATACACACACACACGGACCAAAATGCAATAACCTCTGTAAAAAATGAAAGTGTAACACTGGACAAAAACAACCAATCTTATATGTTTCACGGTACGTAATGACACGTATCTTAAATACTGAAATACAACATCTTTCAACATATAACACGAAAATGAAAAAAGTATTCCCAAAATAATTCGTACAGTTTCCACTGAAATTAAGACTTTAGAACAAAGGCAACTTTGAATTTGAACAATTTAAGCATGATATATTGAATTTACACGGTTTAATTTTATATCTTTTAAATTTTACATATATTTAAAGACCATTTCAAGGTTTATTTTTACATACAGTACGCAATGTATATACTTAAAATAAAAATTTTAACACATTCAGGTCTAAATTAAAACCTTTAATATATACACATTCAACACGAAATCTTTGTTGACAGCCTCAGTACTGTAGATAGCCTATTTTGTAGCTTTACAATTGAAAACAAAACCATCATTGTATAAACGTGAAGGTTGAAAATTTGAAATATATATGTATTTACAAATATAATAATTGCGCATATTTTTATATGTATATCTAGTTCCACTCTTTCTATACTGATATGTTCGTATTTTCTAGCATTAAATGACATTTTCAAGAAATATGAATATTAGCATTTTGCTCTTATGTTACTAGCATAGACTCGCAGAACATCTGCGGCCAAAACAGTATCTTTATTGAATACAGGATTTCTAGAATAATACAAAAGCTTTCTAATAGCAGACACCAAAATCTATACGTCCACTTGTCTTAGGCCTAGCTTTAGTTAAGCCTTTATTAAGAACAAGTTTGGTAAAGAGATAGATGAACACTACTTTGTGTACGTTTTTTGCTATAATTTAGTTTGCCTAACCTTTACCGTACACAACCATATCAATAAATAAACTTAGTTGTTTTACGACCTAACGTTACACCTTTTAAAAGACATTGAAAAGCTTTTAATGTGTTGTACAAAACATCTACTAAAGTATATTTATATCCTTCTTTTGTTTACCTTCATTGAAATGAAGTGCATGCGCATTTTCAGGACAAACAAAACCAAGTATTATTATAATAGATTCAGACAAATTTTCTAAATCTTCATGCAGCTCTTCTACGTGTAGTTAGCATCTTCCTGGTAAACTGGATGTATGAAGGTCATAAACTTGCAATAATTCTCTTGCTTAAGTTACATGCTACAACGACTATTCTGTACACCTTATACCTGTTTGGCAATGTTTCTGTGTTGATCCTGGGAGTGAAATTACTTTTATTTCAAATGATGATACAGAAACTTGTAAAAGATCGTACCAGGGGTTATCTTCCTTGTATACTGTTGACATATTTCATCTAAGGATTGCAGGGCACCACACTAGAATTCTGGTCTGACTTGCAGTGTGGTATTTTATCATTCTTGTTTTGACCCTTGTCCTGGTTGGTTGGTGTTTTATGGCGCAAAGCAGCTTGGCTATCTGCGCCAAACAACCGGTAAAAGCAATGAAAGTAAAATGTAAAAAAAAAAAAAAAAAAA